TTTTTTTTTTTTTTTTTTTTTTTTTTTTTGCTATTACTTTTCTTTCTCTGCAGGTCCTATCTGACTCCTGTACGGGATGAAGAAGCAGAGTCTTTACGGAAAGCACGCTCCAGACAAGCTCGGCAGACACGAAGGTCTACTCAAGTGAGTGTGGCTTTTTAAAATGTCATTTTGTCTATCTACCCTTCTGTTGGAGGTACAGTCAAAACTAAAATATCCATTTTCAACTGCTGATTTACACACACACACACACACACACACACACACACACACACGGCTTGGTGTGGTGACTCATGCCTGTCATTCCATCAATTTGGGAGGCCAAGGAGCTGAGACCAGGAGGACTCCTGACTTGAGGTCAGGACCAGCCTGGTCAACATGGTGAAACCCCGTGTCTCTACTAAAAATATGAAAATTAGCTAGGCATGGTGGCAAGTGCCTGTACAGCTAGTGCTCAACTTACGACCACAGTTGGGACCGCGGACCGGTCGTAACACTATTTGATCATAAGTTGAGTAGGCTATATGTACAGTTGAAATGGTGCAAGGAGATGGTACTGCTGCTAGAAGCTGGTCCCCACTGTCGTACGCCCAGCTGGGCAACGTCTGCACTGCCAGACGCGGAGCAGTCGTGGCTAGTGATTGTGGTCGTAAAGTCGAATGGTCGTAAGTTGCATAGGTGGTAAGTCGATCAATACCTGTAATTTCAGGCACTTAGGAGGATGAGGTGGGAGAATTGCTTGAACCTGTGAGGTGGAGGTTGCAGTGAGCCAAGATTGCGCCACTGCCCTCCTGGACAGCAGAGCAAGACTGCGTCTCGAAAAAAGAAAACAAAACACACACATGAAAATGACTGCCCTATTCTAGCCACAGTCTTAAAAGTTTTCACTGTGTTGAATCTTACACTACTTAGAATCAAATGAATTTACAGCTGCATCTACCCATTCTCACCGATATTCCTCCAGGCTTAGAACAGATTTCTCTTCTCCTTCACAAGATTAATTATTCCACTTGTGCTCAAAGACCTTAAGAATCCTAATACATCCCTATATCCCACTACATTTTAAGAATCCCTAAGGGAAAAGAGTTTAGCAATCCCTCAAAATTTTAAACAAAGAGTTACCATTTTACTCAGCAGTTCTACTCAAAAGAAATGAAAACATATGTCCATATAAAAATTTGTATGTAGGTGTTTATAATAGCATTATTCATAATAGCTAAAAAGTAAAAACAAGCTAAATGTCTATTGACTAATAATGAATGGGTAAACAAAATGTGATATATTTGTACAATGGAATATTACTTGGCAATAAAAAGAATGAAGTACTGCTACATGCTACAACATGGATGAACCTTGAGAAAACATTATGCTAAGTGAAAGAAGCCAGACATAAAACACTCCATATATTATGATTTCATTTATATGAAATGTCCCAAATAGGCAAATCCAAACAGACAAATTAGATGAGTGCCAGGGCTGGGGTGAAGGCTGAATGGGGAGGGACTAATAATGAGTGTGTGGTTTCTTTTTGGGGTGATGAAAATTTTATGAAATTAGATGTGATGATAATTTTATAACTCTATGAATAAACTAAAAACCAAGGAATTGTATACTTTCAAATGGTGAGTTTTATGGTATATGGATTGTATTTTAATAAAGATGTTAAAAAAGGAATCCCTGAGGGAGTCATTGAAGCAGTTTAAGGGAATATGATATAGTCTACATTGTGTGTGTGTATGTGTGTGTGTGTTAGTGAACTGATGGGAATGGTAGGTGGAGGTGTGTTTGCCAAGCCTAGAAGCAAGAAGACTTGCTGGGAAGCTGTATGGTAGTCCCCAGATTACAAGGGCATGAAATCAAATTGTAATGATAATGAGAATGGAGAGAAGTCTATGAATTTGTTATTTAAAGAAGCAGAGAAAGATGAGCCCGTGAAACAGAATGAAAAGAAGCAGTAAGAGAGGTGAAAAGAAAATCAGAAAATAGTGCAGCATGGAAGTAAATAAACAGTCCATTTCCAGTGGAAAGGAGAAGTTCTATAGTTGTTTTTGTTTGTTTGTTTTGTTTTGTTTTGTCTTTTGAGACAGAGTTTTGCTCTTGCCGCCCAGGCTGGATTGCAATGGTGCAATCTCGGCTCACCACAACCCCCACCTCCTGGGTTGAAGCAATTCTCCTGCCTCAACCTCCCGAGTATCTGGGATTACAGGAGCCTGCCATACAGGAGCCTGCCACCGTGCCCAGCTAATTTTTGTATTTTTAATAGAGATGGGGTTTCACTATGTTGGCCAGAATGGTCTCGAACTCACTACAGAGGTCAAGTAGGAAATCTGATCAGTGGAAAAGAGACATCATATGTTGCAGCAAAAATACCCTTGTTGTCTTCCTTGACCCTCCCAAAGTAGGTCACGTATTCTTCCTTTATTTTTACTTGATGATTATTTGTCTGTTTCCTCCATTAGAATGTAACCCCCATGAGGACCAAGACTAACTATGTTTTTCAGTTTTGTTTTATTGTGGTGAAAAATACATAACATAAAACCAGTTTTACCATTTTTAAGTTTACAGTTTAATGGCATGAAGTACATTCATATTGTTGTATAATTATCACCACCATTCATCTCTAGAACTTTCTTCCTGTTCCCAAACTGAAACTCTGTATCTATTAAATAATTACTACTCATTTCCCTCTGGCATCTATCTCCCCTTCCACTTTCTATGAACTTGACTATGCAAGGAACCTCAAATAAGCAGAATCACACAGTATTTTGTTCTTTTGTGTTGCATTTTACTTAGCATAGTTATGAAGGTTCATCCATATTGTAGCATTTGTCAGAGTTCCTTCCTCTTAAAGACTGAATATTTTAGTCTTTTATGGATATTACATTTTGTGTATCCATTCATCTGTCAGTGGACATTGGGTTGCTTCTACCTTTTGGATATTTTATGCTGCTATGAGAATGGCTATACAAATATCTCCCTGAAACCCTGCTTTCATTTCTTTTGGGTATATACTGAGAAATGGAATTTGCTGGATCATATGGTAATTCAATTTTTAATTTTCTGAGGAACTGCCATACTGTTTTCCATAGCGGCTACACTATTTTATTTCCCATTAGCAGTGCACAAGGGTTCTAATTTCTCCACATTCTCACCAATGTTTGTTTGTTTGTTTGTTTTTATGAGATGGAGTTCCAGGGCGCAATGGCATGATCTCAGCTCACTGCAACCTCTGCCTCCAGGGTTCAAGCGATTCTCCTGCCTCAGCCTGCCAAGTAGCTGGGATTATAGGCGCCCATTACCACACCTGGTTAATTATTTTTGTATTTCTAGTAGAGACGGAGTTTCACCATGTTGGCCAGGCTGGTCTCTAACTCCTGACCTCAAGTGATCTGCCCATCTTGGCCTCCCAAAGTGCTGGAATTAACAGGTGTGAGCCACTGTGCCCAGTCTGCTTTTTTGATAATAACCTTCCTAATAGGTGTGAAAAGGAAGACTGACTAAACTTTTGCTCATCTTTTGTACCAGCATACAGTAAATAAATCAATATATACTTATTGAATAAATAAATGAGTGAGAAATCATAGGAAAAGAGAAATTGCTCTGGAATGATTTCAAGTTTGTTTATGAAGGAATGGGGAAAGATAGGGAAGTTGCTAGAGAGGGGCATAGAATTGAAGTTGGGAGACATAGAAACATTTTAGAGGAAAAGATTCAGTAGAGAGGGAGTAACAAAACTTGAATAGATCTTTGAACTCCTTGAAATGTGTACATAATTTTTGAGGAGATTTTATTAGCTTCTCAGTAGTCTTCATGATATTCTCAAGGGGACTGCAGACTCCCAAAGAAAGTAAAATCTAAGCTCCTTAGAATAGCTTACAAAATGTGTCATGGCCTCGCGTCTGCCTGCTTTCCTAAACTCAGCTATCCTCATTCTCCCTCTTTCCTCCAACTTTCCTTTTGTTGCGGGCTTCATCTTTGCTAAGTTACCTACAGATTCCTAAGTCATCCATGGCCTCTCGTTTCTCTATCTTTGTATATGCTTCTACCTATCATTCCTTTCCTCCCTCCCGCTACACAAGTTCTTTTTACTCTTTAAAACTCAGTGTTAGGTTTTCCTCCTACATACTCCTGTGTTTCTGTTTTAATACTTACGTTCTCTCATTATACTTGTTTGTTTTCTTATGTCTTTTCTGGTACACTAAAAGGTTCTTGACAGTAATCATTTGATTTGTCTTTGTAGTTCTAGTGCCTAAAGATACTTAATTCTTTATTAACAGAAGGATTGAGTGAATGAGTGAATAGTAAAAAAGCAGGGGGTGGGAAGGGAAGCAGGTTGTGGATACAGTACCTGATCAACTACCTTCCAGCTTTGGAACTTCCTTCTTCTGAGGACTCATGCATATAACTACTTGAGTTGGAATCAGCTCACACTCTTTCTAAACTCTTTTTCTCCCTTCTCCTGTAGTTGTGTCTTCATTTGCCTTTCTTCTGTCTTGCTGCTCCTATGACCCTGGTTGGGGGAACATTAATTGTTGGAATATCCCTATATGATTCCTAGAGTTGCTTGGGAATTGATATTAGAGAAAAGCTAGCCTTGTCAGGAAATGGGTGTATGAAAAAAAGGAAAAAAAAGCTAGTGTAAGGGGTTTAAGAGGTTTTGTTGTTGTTATTCTAGTCAAGCTCTGAATTTTCATCTTGTTGAACCAGGTTTTTCTTTTTTTAAGTAAATTTTTTTTCCAGTATCTGCTGTTTAGAGAATCTCTGTTGGTAACCATTTGATCTTGGGAGGGTAGGGACCTTTCAGGTAAAGACACTGAGAACTATTTGGTATGGAAAAAGTACATCTATAACAGGCAGACATCAATGTTGACCTCATTTTCTGGAGATCAAACCAGAAAAACCAAAGTATTACATTCAAATGTACCTAGACTCAGGCCTGGGTTCTTTGTACACTGAGATGCTTATTTTAAGCATACATTGCTTGAAATGGCCTCATTATCCATTCTGGGGGCTTCATTTTGGGATTTGATAACTCTGATCTTTTTGGGAATACTCCTGCTCAATCATCAAGAGTTATTCCATGGTTGGTATGAAACAGCCCTGATCTTGTGATATTTTCCCAGGGTGTCACCCTAACAGATCTTCAAGAAGCAGAAAGGACTTTCAGCCGGTCGAGGGCAGAGAGAAAAGCTCAGGAGCAGCCTTGTGAGAAGCCCACAGACACTGAAGGGGGGCTTGAGGGGAGCCCTGAGAAGCATGAGCCCTCAGCAGTCCCAGCAACGGAAGCTGGGGAGGGCCAGCAGCCCTGGGGCAGGAGTCTGGATGAAGAGGTGAGCTCATTTTTGTGGGCACGTACTGTGATAAAAGCAGGGTAATTAGTCTGGGGAGTATCTTCTTCACTGATAGTTCAAAGGCTATGTTCTGCCTTGCAGTGGAGAACTCACTCTGTATGCCTGTCTTTAGTTGGCAAACCTGTGTGACAAAAATTTAGAGGATGTCAGTCCTTAAATGACCATTTTTTTTTTTTTCTAAGAGTTCACTGATGCTTTTGAATAAATATCCTATTCTAAAAAGAGAGGTCATAGTATAACAAAATGCAAATAAAAATATAAGCATGTATTGAAGGTTTACTTTACTCAACACATGCTTACTTTATGCCAGGCACTATTTTAAGTTCTTCATATGTATTAATTCATTTAATTCTCATAACAAACCTCTGAGGTAAATATTACTATTTCTATTTTATATATGAGGAAACTGAATCACAGAGGTTAAGGACATTTAAGCCCAACATTTCACACAGCTAAGAAGTGGTTAAGCCAGAGTTTGAACATAGGCAGTCTGACTTGCTCTCATAACCACTAGCGTATATTTTCAAACTCTTGCAAACCTAAGGGCTTACAAAGCACTCGTGGGTGTCACTGTTGGGAGGGACATTTTGATTTATGTTTCATTGCTCTAGTGGAGTTGGTAATCAAAGGTTACCAACTTTTGGTACCCTTTAGGGTGAACATAACTCCTGGTTTACTTAAGGTGGTTCCAAGTATAACTGTTGTCTTTGCGTAATTATCATTACCACTCCTTTGCACTCTCAAAAGTGTCCCGGTTTGGATTGATAAATGTTATGGTCACTGTGGTTATAGAAGAAAGGAATCTCCTTCTTGCTTTGACTCTGAATGGCTAGATTCCATAAACTGAAGTTCTATTTTGTATTTTGTTTGTTTTATAAGCTACTATTTATTGAGTACCTATTACCAGGTATTCTTCTAAGCACCTAATGCACATTTTCTTATTTAATCTTCATAATCCTCTCTGAAGAAAGTGTTATCTCAGTTTTATAGATGAGGATGTTATGGCTCAGAAAAGCTAAGTATCTTATTCAAGGCCACACAGCTAGTAAGTGCTGAAGCTAGAATTTGAACAAAGATCTGTCAGACTCCGAATTTACTACATTTTATTGTATCTGTCTTTATAAATCACAAGAATTTGTACAATCACTATGCCATAAATTTGATGTATAGTAAGAATTTATCTATCTCTGAGTCTTCCATAAACCAAGTTAAGGCTTATTGTTAGGCTGTGTCTGTCCTAACTCTCAGGAAAGAAACAAAAACACTACAAAACAAAAATGGAAACTTTAGAAAGCCTAGTTATGGCAAGCTGGTAGAGTGTTCAGAAGTTGGTAGGATACTCACATTTGTTCTCTGTTCTCAGACAATTCCCACATTTTGCTGCTTCATTCTCCTGAGCTTTTTATTACCCTACATAAACCTTGCCTTTCAGCACTCTATCTTAAAAAAGGCCATCATTCTTATTTTCACTCCAAAATCAAATGAATTTTTATTTACACGGTTAATGCTATCTAGTACCCTTCGGTCAATTTATGAATTGGACTGCTCTCAACATGATGGGATTCTCAGAGTAGGAGTCCAGCAGCTGGTTTTTTGCTGTCTAGTTCATTTATTGAGTGCCTATTACCAGGTACTCAATATTGATCATCATGTACTCATAAGCCTCTCAATATGAAAAAAAAACTGTTGAGAACCAGCCCAACCCCGTACGTGGGTGCCCTTAGTCCTGGCAGTGACGAGGGATTGAGAAAAGGAAATAAAGACAGAGACACAAGAGTAGAATTTACAGCATGGGTCCAGGGGACCATCGCAAGAGTGGAAAATGCATTGGCCCCAGCTCTGGGCTCCAGACAGTTTTATTATGTGTATAATCTCATTGATCTTATGGGCATGGAAGGGGAGGGTAAAGGAGTAGGTAAGAGCTGGGTGGAGAGCACTTGAGATCCTTCTGAGACATGCTAAACTAGTGCTCTGAGCATTTAACAGCATTTGAAATCCTTCTAAGACATGCTAAACTAGTACTCTGAGTTTATCACAGATTGTTATCAAGGTGCAGCTGCATCAGCAGTATAGCAGATTAGGAGCCACCCGGTCTGACCACACCCATTGCAACAGGGGCTTTTATCTCCCCAGCATTGAGGACATAGAGCAATTAAAATCACTCCATATTCCGAGAACCTAGGCAGAGAATGAGGTGTTCCGTCATCTCTGCCCTGCAAGGCTTTTCTCCTCCTTGCCAGCTCCCATCTGCAAAGACCGTCCCCGATCTTGTGAGCACAGGTCGCCTGCCTTCTCAGAGATCTTTGCATACGCCCTCTTTATGAGGCCCTTATACAGTCTCCATGTTGAGAAGGCATTTGTGGGACCAGAGCAGTATTCCCTTGCTCTGCAACCACCCCGAGGTGTTCCCCGGTATTACTGCGCTCTTGGATGGTCTTTACCTTAGGCCTCCTGTTGCCACTTGATTTCTAATTAACTGCACCAATAATGTAGTTTAGTTCAGTGTATAAACTTCAGTGTCTTCTGAGTCAAGCAAGCTTACAGTTATTTAGCTAGAATCAACATAGGTCTCTCCCTGGCCATCTTGACCCACAAAAACATTTTGTATAAACCTGCTGTTCTTATCCTTTAGATGGACTTGACTTCTAATATCTCATGTGTGGATTATTTCCAGCCTATCGGTCATCGCCTGAGGTGTCCAACTCAGCCAGACAAACCCACCACGCCAACATCTCCTTCTACATCAACACCCTCACTCTACACCAGTTCCAGTTCCCACTTGCTACGGACAAATAGATTCTCAGACCCTGATTCTGAGAGTTCAAAGACTACCACGAACACTACAACTGCAAAGGAAATGGACAAAAATGGTATGTGGAGCTTCAAAAGACACAGGCCCCTCCACAGTGCACATCCCCCAGATTCTTAAAGTCCATACTTTATTTTATCTCTGGCCAGAGAATGAAGAAGCAGATTTGGATGAGCAGTCCTCTAAGAGGCTGTCCATCCGAGAGAGGAGGCGGCCCAAGGAACGGCGAAGAGGCACAGGCATCAATTTCTGGACAAAGGATGTAAGTGGATTGGTCTGTGCTGAGGCATATCATATTACTCTTGGCCACCATCCTTTCAGTTGAGTTTAAAATAGAGTCCTCATGGTGCCATGAATTCTGCAGATTCTCAGGAAGTATTACTGAGGAAAAGAGAAGAAAGACCTAACTAGTGTGGGACTCATTTGTATGTTCCTGCTAGATTCCCAGTATCTAATACAGTGATAAGCACATGTAAGCACATGGTGGGCACTCAGTAAATTGGCAAATAATTTAAAAACTGGAAATATACAACAGCCATGTAATAAATGAATAAGCTTGTCAAGTTTTAGTAGTCCTTCCTAATCTTCCCTGAATGTCATGTAGTGAAGTCAACAATATCTTAGTGCCACGTATGAGCAGAGATTCTAACTAAATATTGTAGGAGTGCTACAAGAATTTCAAGGAACTTAAAATCTCTCAGTAATACAAGTTCACTTAGGTTTACTTTTTTGGAGAAAAAAAGGAACAAATAACATAAAATAGATTAACTCTGGCTTTAAAATAAAGACATATATGCCAATGCTTACTAACTACAAATACACATTCAATAGTTATTTTTTAAATTTTTAAAAATATTATTTCCAAGCTGGACACCATTAACATTCAGTAGTTTAATTCATCCTCTTCCATATCTTGTTCTGTACCCTTCTCATTCAACCTTGTTATTGGCATTTTAAAGAACAAGTGACCAATAACCTGGAAAAGAGGACCCTGCTTACCAGTAACTGATTTGAAAATTGGACATACTTATTCAGTGAGACAAGAAATGAGACAGTAATAGTCATCTATTAGAAATTATTTTTTATAGGCTGGGCGCAGTGGCTCATGCTTATAATCCTAGCACTTTGGGAGGCTGAGGTGGGTGGATCACCTGAGGTCAGGAGTTCAAAACCAGCCTGGCCATCATGGTGAAACCCCATCTTTAAAAAAAAGAAAAAAAAAGAAAAAAATTATTTTTTAGAAAAAAGTACTTCATTGTTATAAGGCAGAATAAACTGATAAGTCTTGACAAAGATAATAATTAAGTCTATCTGTCTTAAAGATATCCCTTTTCCAGCTGTAGTCAATTTGACTTTTTATACTACAGGTGACATTTCTAAGTTGCCTGCCTGTGATGCCTGTGAAAAGTAGCAGTAACAGAGCATTACTTGGCAGTCAATTCTCATTGCCCATGTTTGAAATGCCAAGATGCATAATTGATGGGATCTGACCTTGCTGCTTTCAAGGATGTCTGTAACGATGAACCTCTTGATTTTCTTCCTTTTTCTTTTACAGGAGGATGAAACTGATGTCTCTGAAGAGGTCAAAGCAGCATGGGTAAGTGACAACCCAGTGAGGCATGTCTCTTGAGAGCACAGTCTTGCTCTTGTAAGTAATTTTAATAGAACAAAGGGCAAGACTTACGAAGATTTTAGCTGAGAGGGAGATTGGAGATAGACATTCCTCTAAAAGATGTGGCAGGCGTTAGTCTGTGGTACTGTTTTATCATGTGGTGTAACAATGCCCATGTCCTTGAACCAGTTTCCTACATTTTTCTATGACTGCTGCCAATCTTTCACACTGTTATAGGATCCATCATTTTCTCTCTTGTGAGTATGTTATTGTATTATATGAAGTACTTTGAAATATTTGAATGAAAAGTGAAGAGTGATACCAGTTCCTTTTTGGATCTACACTAATAGAGAAGAACATAAATGTGGAGAATGTAAAACATTAGACAGTCCCAAAGTCATTTATATTTGACTTTGAAATAAGATTAAACGTCTGGCATCTTATATAACTCTGACCCTTTAAGGCCTGACATCCAATTTTTCCCTGCAGTGAAAGGCCTAAGTTCAGCTTTTCTGAAGATACTCCAGGCTCCTCTAAGCCACTCAGACACGATTGGTGGTGTTCTTCTTTTCAGTACTGTTTTCCAAGAAGGAAGGAATTTGGTTTTGACTAAATTAATTGAAATACATGTGCTTTTCTATTGAAATTATGTAAAAAGATAAACTTTTTTTATCCTACAACTTATTATAAGTATGTTCTCAGAGTATATTTAATAACCTGTACTGAAAATTAACAACTAATTTTTACCAGAGAAGATATAAATATTATAATGTCATTGACTTGCCTATATTTTAGTCTAGATCCAAAACAGACAATAGCAGGCTTCCAAAAAGCAGGGTCTTTAATGACTAATGGTGACATAGGTAAGAATTGGCTGCCCTTGGTTGAAGCTGGGGCTACTTCATAAAGACAAGCTGTGTGGTGTAGAAATAGTATACACGTTCCTTGGAGCAAGAGTGTGTGCATGTGTGTATGTGTATAAATTACAGCAACTCTTAGTTTCTTCAAGGGGCTTGGAAAGGCTTTTGGAGATAAGAAGAGTGAATACAGGAATGTTCCTTTGGGGAATTATAACTCAGAGAATACATAACTCAGGAAATATAACTCAGAGGATCTGAGTTATAGTTTATAGAGCACTGAAATGGAACATTATCCGTACAGAATTATATAGGACATTTAAATCCGGGGAATTGCAGGAAAGAAGGATTTGTTGTCATAAGAATGACAATTTTGCCAATGAAAATTCTATTCTCTACTTTTCTAAACTTCTTGGCACTGGAAAATCCTAGCCTAGAGGGTACCAAGTAAGGAAAATTAAGATGATCTTGATGTAGTACTTCCTAGAGAATTTTAATTTAGGACTGTTGACTTAAAATTATGAAGAAAAGCAGAGACTGTTGCAGTTTCATGTGAAAGACATTGTCAGACAAAAAAAATACTCATCCAATTGCATAAGGCATCTATTAGTGTTTACCATGTATCAAGAAAACAACAATGTGAATCAAAAAGAATAAACAGCTCATTATCTCTGGACTGATAACTTTGAATTTATGCAGGTAAGCTGGGGTTGCTATAAGAAGTATATTCTAGGTGCCAATCTCCAGCCTCGCCAATCAATGGTGCAGAAAGAAAGGCTGATAATGAATCAGCATAGGGTGAGGCATCCTTTTTGTAAAAGTCTTATATTTGCTTGTTCCATTTATTTCAGTGAAATTCTTAACTGTTTTTCTCCCTTGAGCGCTCTTTCCTAATGCTAGCAGGCATGATGCCATTATCCATATGGGCTTACAGAGCAACATGCCTTGTCATGGACCAATGTAAATTGCTGCACTTCTACTTCAAGACAATCTGGTAGTATCTTATGACCATCTTTCTACCCTGTTTCCATTTTCATCCATCAGGCAGTAAAGTTGACTCAGCTCTGCAACAACAAATGAGCCGTCAAAGAAGGGGGCATTCTATTGAAATGGTACTGTTAGCTAATCAGCATGGAGAAGCCAGGGCAGTTCTTTCCTTTCTTGGTTTTTAATTCAATAAAACTATATCTGCTATTGAGGTCATGTTGGCTTCCTTCTCTTCCCTAGCCCACTTCTTAAGGGTGATAGTATCTATTATTTTTTAAATTGTCTCTTCCCAAGACCTTAATATCTTGTTTAACTGAAATATAATTTACAATTAATGCATAGATTTAAAATATACTGTTTGCTGAGTTTTGACACTTGTATGTACCAGTATAACTACTACCCAAATCAAGATATAGTACTTTTCCATCACCTTAAAATGTTTCATCATTAACGCTCAAGAATAAGCAATACTAATTCATGGCGATAGAAATCAGAAGAGTGCTTGCTTCTCAGGACAGGGAATTGAATGGAACAGACAGAAATCATCCAGCAATAATATTTAACTTTTTTTTTTTTGAGACAGGGTCTTGCTCTGTTGCCCAGCCTGGAGTGCAGTGGTGCAGTCATTGTTCACTGCGTAAACCTCCTAAGCTCAAGTGATCCTCCTACCTCAACATCCCAAGTAGCTGGGACTACAGGCGCAAGCCACCATGCCCAGCTAATTTTTGGAGTTTTTCTAGAGATGGGGTTTCACCATGTTGCCCAGGCTGGTCTCAAACTACTGGGCTCAAACAATCCTCTTGCCTTAGCCTCCCAAAATGTTGGGATTATAGGCGTGAACCACAGTGCTCAGCCAATAATATTTAATTTTAATAGTAGAAAGGAAACTTCAATGGTTATTTTATCTTATGACTCTAGTCAGGGTTAGAGCTAAATGATTCAAAATATCTATGGGTTTTTCCCCCCTCTTCTTAAAGATTTCAAAAGAAGATTGATACCTCACTTATATAACAGTAACAACAGTGTGGTTTAGAAGACCTTTCTATTGAATAAAATAAATCTCTGTTGATGTCATTGAAGTTCATTTCCTTTTTTATATACTAAGAAAAATGTAACCCACATTTATATACAGATAAGATTTATGGCCAGGAATGGCCATAATGTTTGCTATCAAGAGAATATTTGATCAGGGAAATGCAAATCAAAACCACAATGAAATAGATCATTTCATCTGTTAGAATGGCTATTATTAAAAAGACAAAAAATAGCAAAATCTGATGAGGATGTAGAGAAAAAGAAACTCAATACACTGTTGGTGGGAATATAAATAAGTGTAGCCATTGTGGAAAACAGTATGGAGGCTCCTCAAAAACTAAAAGTAGAACTACCATATGATTCAGCAGTTCCACTACTGGGTATTTAGCCAGAGGAAAGGAAAACCGCTCCTGGTGGTCTAGTGGTTAGGATTCAGTGCGCTCGCGCTCGCTTGTGCGCGCTCGCTCTCTCTCTCTCTCTCTCTCTCTCTCTCTCTCTGTCTCTCTGTCTTTCAAAGAGATATATGCACCCCTATGTGTATTGCAGCACTATTCACAATATTCAGGATATGGAATCATCCTAAGTTGATTGAATAAACAGATGAATAGATAAATTAAATGTGGTAATATGTACATGGTGGAATACTATTTGGCATTAAAAAGAATGAAATTATGTCATTTACAGCAATATGAATGCTCCTGGAAGCCATTATGTTAGGTGAAATAAGTCAGTCACAGAAAAATAAATACCATATGTTCTCACTCATATGTAGGATCTTAAAAAGTTGAGCTCATAGAAGTAGAGATAGAATTGTGGTTACTGGAGTCTGGAAAAGGGGGATAGTGAGAGTTTGGTTAACAGATATAAAATTACAGGTAGGAGGGTTAAGTTCTAGTGTTCTGTAGCACTGAAGGGTGAATATAGTTAATGATGATTTGCTGTATATTTTCATATAGCTAGAAGAGAGGATTTTGAATGTTCCCAACACAAAGAAATTATTTTTGGTGATAGATATGCCAATTACCTTGATTTGATCATTACATATTGCATATATGCATTGAAATATCACTTTGTACCACATAAATATGTAGTACTATAATGTGTCAACTTAAAATTTTTAAAAAGAGAGTGATAGACTAGTCATGCATTGCTATGCTGAGGACAGCAAGAAACATGCTTAGAAGGCTGGGCACCCTGCTTAAGCCCAACATAGTGCATGGTTTTATTCCAAACCCATCCCCATTGGTAAATCCATGAACCAGTGAAACTAACAATGAATATATAAAATTGACATCTTAGCACCTCCTTGACAGGTGTGTTTAAAAATAATTCTTTTTTATTTATCCTCATTAGGTATAGGACAGATAGTCTCTGAGAATCTTAATAGATCTTTTGTCTTTCTAAATGAAAAAGAAACTTAATCTGCATCTTAATTTGAGGAATAGGATTATTCTATCTGAAAATGCTTTTTTGTTCAGGAGTGTGTTTGCTGTTTTCTTTACTATAGTAGTAATCACATAGAATGTTTGCCCTGGAGGGAACAAGCATAGGTACATCACAGAAGGTAATGACCATTTGGATTACTTCCATCTTTTTTTACCTGCATCTTTGGCCTGCATTCCATTTTCTTTACATTGAGTTTTATCTATTGCTTTCTTACTATTTTCCCTGTTTTCTCTGGAGCTGTTTTCCAAGCCAATCCTGTTGTATAATTGAATTTATCACTAGAGGGCACAAATGTTCAACAGAAAAGATGTTGGTGAACAGGCAGAATGGTGCCCTAAAGAAGCTGAGCAGAAGACAAATTGCTTTTGTTTTAAAGGAATTGTTGAAGGACTCAGTTCGATGTAGCAAAGATATTTGCCTCCCAGCTTCTGCTATCATAGAATTGGAAGATAATCTAGAGATGTCTTGGGTTAGGAACCTCATTTTACATTTAAGAAAACTGAGGCCCAGTGAAATTAAGAATTTGGGAATATGACATCTCTGCTAGGTGAGCAACCTGTACCTTTTTTCAGGGAACCTCTTTGTTTGACTGTAGTGAAGCAAATCTGAAATTAGGACTTACATCCTTTTCTATTCCCTATTCATCCGTTTGGTTTTTTT